TTCGAAAAATAAATGTTATGTTCATTGGCTTACTACTGTAACTATGTGGAAATCTTTAACACGTTTTCATATAGATTTTTAAAAAATGTCTGTTCTTTTAGTTAGTTGGTGCCAAAGACATCTTGTAGAAAAATCTGTGGCGTTTGCATGATCAAAAACATATACTCAGACAGACTTGTACATAATATGACCATTGGCTCGACTGCTCTGATTTTGTTATATCTTTGACTTCCACGGAGGATAAGGGCTTAGAAACTAAATTATATTTTAAACATTCTGAAAACACTGAAATCTTAATAGAAAAATCTGTGGCGTTTGCATGATCAAAAACATATACTCAGACAGACTTGCACATAATATGACCATTGGCTCGACTCCATTCTGTAGGTTAACAAAGTAGACAACGCTGGTTTTGATACATTTAACATTCCGTGTTTATATTATTGCCCCCCCCCTCTCGAACTGTCGGCAGGGCGGGATCGCTATAGCTCCTCCGGGTTGGCCCATGGCCATCAATCGCTCAAGCTTTAAAACAGTAAACAATCTTCTATTCTCTACCCCCAGACTGTACACCACCAAGCGATCGTGGAACTGGCGAAGGCGCTTTCACCCACTACTACTTCAACCAGGAGACCGAGTCATGTGAGCCATTTACCTACTCAGGAGAAGGCGGTAATAGGAACAACTTCCGCACAAGGTTCGAGTGCCGAGCAGCTTGTGTTTGTACCCAGGGAGCAGAAAGAGGCAGGCGCGAGAGGTTTTGTCACAATCATCATTACTACGACATCAAAGACGGCAAATGCAGGCAATACCGCTACAGAGGTTGCAACACTAAAGTTAACCGCTTCAAAAGCGAACGATCCTGCAACAGGAGATGTGCCATTGCACGCTGTTTCCTGGACCTGGAAAGAGGAACCTGTGATGACCGCATGGAACGTTACTTCTACAACGTCACGGCACAGCAGTGCGAGAAATTTAACTACAGCGGCTGCAGCGGCAACCTGAACAACTTCGATACAATGGAGAAATGTGACCAAAGCTGCAGCGAACCCATCAGGGAAATTGATATCCGGACCAAGCGTCACCGCGACTGTTACCTCCCCAAAAAGGAAGGCGTTTGCAATTCTAGCTTTGAAAGGTTTTATTTCAATTCCGAGACAGGTGAATGCGAGTCTTTCACTTACCGTGGGTGCTATGGTAACCTTAACAATTTTAGGACAGAGATGGGCTGTAGGAATAAATGCATGCCGCCACAACCACGAAAGTAGACCAGCGAAATGCTGTTACCTCGATTGTTTAGCATTTGGGCAAGAGATGGAGTAGCGTACATTATTACTTAGCAGAGGTACATGTACTTACATCAAGCTTGGTGCTAGACTCGAGCGTACTGTATCTTTTTGTTTGCATCATATCTTGTAATTTAAAGAAAGTATTACTGAACACGTAGTGACAATACTCTGCCCCCAGGACACCCACAGGAAGGAGTAGAAAATGTCCCTACGACGACCTGACCGACGGAATTCAACAAGAAAGTAAAAAAAGTGAAATAAATAAAATAAAAAGTGACGAGAAAGCCATAGAGATAAGTATTAATCAATAACTGTACCAAATGACGATTTCTTTAGATCACTGAGTGTTGTCAATATGTATCAAATTAAAAGGTCACGAAACTTATTGCAAAAAGAGCACAGAAATAACTCTACAGTTAAAATGGTTGCTGTATATTATAGTAGTCGTTTTCTTTGAAAGAAAATTTATGCTTGGAAAAGATTTGCCTGTTTATAAGATTGTTTTATTGTCAAATAAACATGACAGTGTTCGTTCTACTACCGGTACGTGTTTGTTTCTCATATTTGGTAGTGGTACATAGCGAGGTCCTGCTTTTCTTCTTCCCTACTCTCCTTCTGTTGTTTATACATGTCCGTCTTGTTTTTCCAATAAAAACAATAAAATGGTGAAATGGGGAAATGGTATGAATAACGCCTGCATCAACACTTTTAGATTATTTAAAAGGCGAGACCTCTGTGTTTAACGTCCATCTCCAAAAGGATCGAGCAAAAATGGGAAGTTCGTTGTCCTGTGTCCTTGGACAGACTCCCGCTCAGCATCAAGCTCTATGCGTTTCTTAATTTATATTATTACCAAAGCAGACCCGATAGCATTCTGAAACAATCTGAACTTTTTGGGAAGAAAGCAGTGCAAGCTGCTATTTTTATTGGCACTAAAGCACTAACTCATTGTGACAAGATCTTTCGCTGTCTATCGCCGGGAACTCATTCTCACCTGGGTGAAGTGAGGAAAATTCGTGTAAAATGCATTGCCCAAGGTACAACGTCGGGCCTAAGCTCGAACCCCAGAACCTGTAGCCCCACGATTACGAGTACGGTAGCCTAACCACTAGACTACTGACGCCACTGGCTGTTGTCTTCTTCTTCTTCTCGACCGCATCACACTTGAAGTCCGGTATCTGTCATAAATTGGGCCGTCAGTTCATCTGGTGGCCCGTATAGCTTCTCTTGTAGCGTCAGTGGGGTTGGCCACGTTTCCTGTCTCAGGGCCCTGTGTGTCTTGCAGTGCTGAAGGATGTGTTCAACAGTTTGGTCCGCCTCTCCACACTGGCATTCTGGTGATTGTACTAGTTTAAAACATTTGTACATATGTTGTCTCAGTCTTGTGTGTTGTGTCCTTAGTCTGAAGATAATCACTTGTTCTTGGCGGGACAGCTCATGGTAGCCATCTGGTGTCTGAGGTGCTTTAAATAGTGTATTTATAATAATTTTTATTTCTGTGTAGTTAACGCACTGGCTGTTGTCATGTTTATGTACTTCTCGAAATGAATTCTCTCGTCTAGAAGTTCGGTGTTTTCCTCTCATTCAAAACGTCCCCGGGTTCGAAACCTGACAGCTGTGACATATTTTTATTCCATATAATGTTCACCTTTGACCTCTTTTCACGTTGTCTAGTCCTGTTCTCTTATCTGCTTTTATCGCCACTTTCTTCCCCAACCCCTGGCTTTCTCTGGGCTCCTCTTTCCTTTAATGTTAACTCTTTCTACGTAACTGGTACTCCTGGCTCCCCCCTCTCTACTCTTTAACAACACAGAGGACACATATGTCAGGATCATGCCAAAGGCGATGTTTCGGCACATTTGAACCATCCGACACAAATCAGCAAAACGAATTTGTATATAATTCCGAGTATACATGCTGAACTCTCCCTTGGTAAAGTTTAAGGTGGAGACAACATAACTGAATAAATTGTATGAATAAGGTAGCCACGCTCTTTTTAAATGCCTCTAAACAGCACGTCTTTGAGCGTAGTTGCAGGACCAGAAAGCAAGTACCCAATGAGTTAATGTTGTCTTTCAGCCACACGAACCCTGATCTTAGTGTAGGTAAGATCGAACACTTACCCTTCTAGGGTGACAGAGAAAAATATTAGACGTCCCGTGTGTAAGTTGCCCAATGCTTAATAATTATCTCTCCTCTCGGTAATCAAAATCCCATCTTCTGACAAAATCACAAGATACGGACAAAATCTTTTGCTGTCTATAGCCTGGTACTCATTCTCACCTGAGTGAAGCGAGGAAAATTTCGTGTAAAGTGCGTTTCCCAAGAGGACATAACGTCGAGCCTGTCGAGGCTCGAACCCCAGAACTTGCAACCCCACGATTACGAGTCTGATAGCCTAACCATTAGACTATTGACCCCACTAAATGGCTGTTATCATGTTTATGCACTTCTCAAAAGTAATTCTGCAGTCAAGAAGTACGGTATTCGCATATCATCCAAAAGGTCCCAGGTTCGAAACTGAATGGGATGACAAAATTTTCTTTTTAAAATGTTCTCCTTTCCCATCCTTTCCTGTTCTCTCATCTGCTTTCATCGCCACTTTCTTCCCAAACCCCTGGCCTTTTCTACGCTCCCCTCTCCTTTACTGCTAACTTTTTCTATTTAACTGGTACTCCTAGCTCCCCTTCTCAACTCTTCGACAACGCAGAGGACTCAGTATATCGTCGGTGCTGTTCCCAGATCGGCTACATGCTAAATTTTCATTTTTTGTTTTATTTGCTTAATGAATAATAATAAGCATGATACGTTACCCCAATAAGTATGAGGTTTGAAAAAAATATAAAAATATGTTTTAATTGACACTTTCCAAATCGGACAATTGCAGCTGGGGAAAAAGTGTCATGGCCCAACCAGCCATGTACGTAGCCGTTTCGGTTTCAGCAAGCCGTCTTTACACGTGTCGAAACTCGTCATGCAAACCGGCTACATGCTTCCCCGCCGCGTATTAACCCCACGTCCCGTATTATTCATTACAAAGGTTTGTTTTTCCCCCTTGATGTAGACTGAATTTATAATTTTCATCAGTGTTCTTCAAGATATAATATTATAGTCAGCAATCAAGAGACTTGTTTTCTTACGTTTGCTTCGATTTACTAGATTAAATTTGTTAATTAATTTATTATGCATTTAAACAATAAAACATGACATAATAGAGTACGAACCACATTATGGACCCGCACTTTTACGACAAGCCCTCTTTTTCTTATTTTTGTTGTTCTTTCTGTTCTTCTTGTTCTTTGCTGTTCTTGTTCTTGTTCTTGTTCTTGTTCTTGTTCTTGTTCTTGTTCTTGTTCTTCTTCTTCTTCTTCTTCTTCTTCTTCTTCTTCTTCTTCTTCTTCTTCTTCTTCTTCTTCTTCTAAATTAACTGTTGTATTGTAGCAGACATCGTGTTAGCTGCAGCTGAGCAGCTGTAATAATAGTAGTAGTAGTAACAGCAGCAGCAGCAGCAGCAGCAGCAGCAGCAGCAGCAGCAGCAGCAGCAGCAGCAGCAGCAGCAGCAGCAGCAGAAGCAGTGGTAGTAGTAGAAGTAGTAGTAGCAGTAGTAGTAGTAGTAGTTGTAGTAGTAGTAGTAGTAGTAGTAGTAGCAGCAGCAGCAGCAGTAGCAGCAGTAGTAGTAGTAGTAGTAGTAGTAGTAGTAGTAGTAGTAGTAGTAGTAGTAGTTGTAGTAGTATTAGTAGTAGTAGCAGCAGCAGCAGCAGCAGCAGCAGTAGTAGTAGTAGAAGTAGTAGTAGTTGTAGTAGTATTAGTTGTAGTAGCAGCAGCAGCAGCAGCAGCAGCAGCAGCAGCAGCAGCAGCAGCAGCAGCAGCAGCAGCAGCAGCAGACATAGCTCTTGTACTGGCAGTTCGCAGCAACAGCAGCAGGAACTACTGTAGCAATACAAAACTTGTACTATGATTATCACAGAAAACATTAATGTGTACTTCATATTCTATTGTTACTGTTTCATTGTTGACAATCTGGATGCAACCCTTTTTGTTCTTGGAATTATCTTTCGCTGTGACCATGGGTGTGAACTGATACATGTACATTGGAGTCCACTTATAACGAGTCCTGGAACAACGAGAAGTCTGTTATAAAGACACTGTTCTAAAAGCCCGTTTTTTTTCTCCCTTCTTTATCTTTGTAAATAAAATACTGCTATTGCGCAATCAACCGTCAGAAGAGTCGTTTATAACGGAATATTGCTGCTGCTGTGCACAGCGCACAGACCAATTAAACATTATTATAAAACCTTGCCAGTTGAGAAAGTTGTCGGGGATCCAGCGAAACAAGGAATGGGAGAGCCCCCGCGAACCAACAATGAAGGCCACAGCGAATGAGTGGGGAGGGTGTGGCATGCACAGACACAAGCAGAACGCATCGCGTGATAGGCCAGCCCAGTCTAGATTATCTAGGCATACCGTGCCTCTCACATCTATGGTGCGGGATGGAGAGGTCACAATGCTGTGATAGTGATAGATGGTGTGAATGTGTGACGTGCGCAAGCTGACGGAATGCACCACAGGGTGTGGTGGAGTGGGGGACAACACTGCGGGCGAGTTAGCCTAGAGCCAGAGCCCATTCTTCCTGATCGTCAAGGCCGATTTGTCAACATTGCTAGTGCTAGAGAAAGAAACCTGATTCGATTTTTGATTAAGTAAGACCTTGAGATCATGTTGAACAAATCATCATCAGGGGAAATACAAAAAGGAATAAACAGAGCGCCAAATCATAGATTAGGCCTACTTTACTATTTCCCTTGAATTTATTACTGGATCCCTTGTAACGAGAATCCTGCTGTAACGGACATTTCGCACCGGTCCCCTCCATCTCGTTATAACAGGATTCCACTGTATTATTCATTGATCTCTCGCAAAATTAGATGTTAAAGTAGTGATGTATAATATACTCTGGCTGGCATTATTTACTTATGATTCACATATCACACATCAATAAGGTTATTTATTCAAAAATTCAACTATGGTATTATTATGCCAGGGATATGATTTAGCAGAGGGAGTAGTTCCAGGAAATATCCTCCGCCAGCGGCTTCTATAATTCACGATAGAAAAAGAAAGGACCAAGAACAAGTCATTGAAAGGAAAAAATACCCCACCAAAACATGAACTGTCAATCTTTGTCAGGTGTACAGAATAGTTCAATCATGTAAATGCTGTTCTTCTATAATTAATGATAGTCTTTTTCAAATACCACTTTCCTGACTTGTAGGCCTAAGTCTGAGGATACATGATGGATTCCCTTTCTCGAGGACGATGCCTGGTAAAACTGAGTTTGGTAAAGACATTGGAGAAGACCGCGGACGATGGTAACTGTACTCCAGCAAAAATATCCAAATTTCACCTCTAACATGGAGCCACGGTAATGCCCATGGCTATCATCATCGACTCCGCTTCACCCTGGTGTTTTGAGCATTTCACTTTCAGAAATTATCAGTGATCTTCTTAAGAATGACTCTAAGTTTGAAAATGCTTTCT